CAGGGTGCAGGGTTAGATGGGATAGTGGGAAGGAAGTTTTGCCTGTGAGTGTGGGGAGGCCCTGTAAGGGTTGCCCAGGGAAGCTGTGGCTGCCCCTGGATCCCTGGAAATGCCCAAGGAGAAGTTAACGGGGCTTGGATTACCCTGGGACAAGGGAAGGTGTTCTTGGAGTGGAGCTGGATGGGCTTTAAATCCAAGGGTTTTGTGGTTCTCAGATTTTTTTTCCTCAGCAGCACTTTGTTCTTCCACAAAGTATAGAAACTAAACGCACAAGGCTGAGGGCTGCCCTGAAGCTAACCTGAGCACCGTTTGTGTTCCGCTGCCAGGAGAGACGATGCGCGTCGCCTCGTCGGAGTTCGCGGACGACCCCTGCTCCTCGGTGAAGAGGGGCACCATGGTGCGCGCCGCCCGCGCCCTGCTCTCGGCCGTCACTCGCCTGCTCATCCTGGCTGACATGGCTGATGTCATGAGGCTCCTCTCGCACCTCAAAATCGTAGGTGTTTTTCACCTTCTCTGTTGGGTTTGTGTGCCTTGTGCGTGGAAAATTGGGGATCAGTCAGTTGGGGAGGTGACTGTCTGTCACCCTGATTCTTAAGATTTTCTAAAACCTTCTGGGTTTACATTCTGTTAGAAAACTTTCTCACACAATTTTCTATAAAGAACATATTGTTTTGCATTCCTTCATAGGGGTGGAGAGACTTGATGTACTGGTAGTTTGTCCAGTGTCTTTGGAGAGGTGGCCCATTCACTCTCCAATCGACTGTCACCTTTGGAAAAGTATAAAAGTTGGAGTCAGAGAATAAAACTTCTTCTTTACCTTGCAAATAGCAGTAGCTCGTGTTGTGCTTTCACGTGTCCTATAGCAACAACTGTCCACAGTCCTTGCTCTCCACTTGGTTCTCTTAAAGTGGATCAGCAGTGGGAGTTAACACATTTCTGCATTAGTCTCATTAGTTTTCTAATTCTGCAGAAATTAATATTTGAACACTTAAAGCAAAATTTGTGAGCCATCTTCAGTGACTGGACTAACACAGAGCTGTTAAACAGCTCTCTGAACTAAACTGAAGCATTTGCTCCCCTCACATCTTATCCCAGTTACTTTTCCAGTATTTTTGTTTTCTGGCACAGTTTAGGTACTGTAGTAGTCTACTCTTTTTTTTTTTTTTTTTTTTTTTTTTTTTTTAATTTGTCTTTTTGACAGTGTAACTGTACAACAATCTCATGTTCTGGAAAAACAGTGAGAACCTTTCAACTTGCAAACTGTGCAGATAACGTGAATAGCTGGAAAACAGATTCCATAAGGAAAGAGGCCGATTTTTCAGCACAGGTTCTAGTGAGCTCTGCTTTAATGAATAAAATGCTGCTCTCAGAATTGTCAGCACATGGCTCTGGTTACGTGCAGTGTAAGCAGTGTCTCTCTCCAATATGCTTTTAATTTTTCCTCTCTATAATGCTCCATGTAACTATAATTCAAATTGTCCTTTCCTAGCAAGGCCAATGCTTGAATATCATAAGCACCAGGTTTTTTTCTGAACATTATGATGAAAATTTGTATTCAAGCTCTTTCATGAGAAGTTTTGTTTTCCCATTTGCAGCAGAGTACTCTGTTATGTAAAATGCAAATGTCCAGTGCTGGTTTGTAAGTGGCTGTATTTATTTGTACAGTTTGCACCCCAGAAGGGCCATGTCTGGAAGTGTGGTTTATAACCTCTGCATTTACCTAATGGTATTACAAGTGTGGTTTCAGAAATCAGTGATCTCTGGTTCTTTTCAGCAAAATTCAACATAAGGGCCTTAACTGTCACTTTTAATTCATGTTAAAAAGGGTAAGTTATTTCTGAGGATTGAACATGCAAATATCCTTATTTTACCACTTTACAATGCAAACTGCTTTTAGACAAATGAATTACTAGGGGGAAAAGTGGTTATACTATATAAAATTGACAGAGGAACAGCTCTTTTATTGACTCAAAGGTAACCTTCAAAGACTTGTGTAAGTTACCCATAAAATTAATGAACTAAAATAATTCTGCATGTCAGTGTAATGAAGCCTGATTTATGCTGAATTGTGCTGTAATCAGTTTTCTCTGAAAGCATGTCAAAGGCTTCCCAGGAAATGGTGCATTTTAATTAGTGTTTTAGGGGGAATATATGCAGGTGCTTTCTGGGAGGACTCTTGGTCATTGCATTCAGGTTATCTTTTGCACTGCTAAAATTAGAAATAGTGGTTATTGCAGAAGCTTTTGTAACACATTAAAAAAACATGTACCATTATAATATGTGGTCATGCACACAGAGAATTATAGATCTATTGTAATTAACTCTAGGCTAGTTAATCAGAGGAACAGATCAGTTGAGTGTTTTCTCAAGGATGGAGAAGGTGCCCCAGTATGAATTTGTAAAAAAGAAATTGTAATAATAAAAATATCACTAAAAAGGAGCTTGTGCTCCTGTCCTTTCTACTGTTTTCCATAACTGGTTTCTTACTTTTGAATTCTGTGGTCTTGAGCCCTGAATGACATTTGATAGAGTATGATCAGCATCCTTTGAAATCTGATTATCAGAGTGGAAGCTCTGCAGAATTTTCAGGAATTCTATTTAATATGGAGCAGGATTTAGAAAAATGTGTATCAATTTTTCATGCCTGTGTTTGGCATTGCAAACAGTAAAGATGAAACTGTCAGGTATTTTAATGTAAATGTTTCTTGATTATAAAGGAAAATGTGCGTATTTTGGAAGAAGTTCTGCAAGAGCAAATTATTTAATACAAGGATGATTTTGTAATTTGTGTTAATGGTAAGGCAGTCAGTTCATTTTAAAAACTTTGTTCTCCTTAAGAGTAAAAAGAAGAGGTAACTTGGATTCTGAATAATCTTGTAGCTTGTAAATCAGCAGAACTTGGTTTATAATTTTGAACATAACAGCTATGAATTTATGTTCCTGAATTATTCATTTTCCAATAGAAATGTATAAGTTTGCTACTCTACTGCCCTGTAATTTGTAAATCTGCAATAAGTAGGTAAGAGCTCAAAATGAAAATATACTCTCTCAGTGGTAGGAAAACACATAGTAATTCAAGCAATAAAAAGATGGGTTCTGCACATAATTGTGCCTTTCTAAACTATTAGACACCAGCTACTGCTGAATTTATCAATTCCCAGCCGTGTCTGGAGAGCTGCAAACCCCTGCTTGTCTCCATGCCAATAAGTCCTTGCCTTTTGAGGGGAAAATTTGTTATGCATGTTCTTATGAACTGCAGCTTTTAGGTGAACAATAGCTTTTATCAAGAAGGATCAGTAGGATCCTTTCAGTTCTCAGTGTTTTTGATTGGAATTGCATTTTTATCTTGCCAGGGAGAGAAGTACAACTTTGAATTCCCATCTAGTCACAGTAATGCTTCCTTTACTTATTGCATGAAAAGAGCATTTTATGCCTTTAGATATTCTTCTGGCTTTGCATAATGTAAAGGTTTACAATACATTTGGATCAACTTGTTGGTATAACTGGAATTTTATATTTTTGTCTGTTAGCTACAGCATCACTGCAAAAATGCAGGTGTAGGTTTTTGGGTAATTTTTTTTCTCAGTGTTTAGTAACCAAAGAATGAAAGCTCAGAGCTGAGAAAAAAAGAAATAATACAAATAATCTGTGTTGAAGGGATCATTTGTTTCACAAAGATAGAGTGTTTTGGATTTATCAGGGTAAATTTAAACCTTAATGGTTAGTTTGAATGTCCTTTTTAAATATTTCTTGTCCAGAAGTGATAACTTTCTTTGTTTTCCCACAAATCCTGTAGCACACATTAAGAACATATTCATGTGTTTTCTTTTGAACCCCATAGATATTAAATATTTCATTTGATAAGTGTGGGCAGTGATATCTTTAAAACATTAGTTTTACATGATCCCAAAGCACAGTAAATGGACAGTAATGCAGAGTGACAGCTGCTCTATTAAAAACCTAATTAAAGTTCATGGGACTCTCATAAAGCTTCTGTACAGTGATGGATGTGAAACCTAAATTGGATCCATGTAAGACAGAGTATTGGGTGGAATAGTCTCAGAGTGATTTTTCAAAGAGTGGATTAAAATGCTGACAGAGCTGATTTATTGTGTTCTAGGTAGAGGAGGCACTAGAAGCTGTGAAAAATGCAACGAATGAGCAAGATTTAGCCAATCGTTTTAAGGAATTTGGGAAGGAAATGGTTAAACTGAACTATGTTGCTGCGAGGAGGCAACAGGTGAGTACAGGAGTGGTTGGAAAAGTCCAACTTCATCCTAAAGTTCTCCTGTTTCATGTCCCAAGTCTGGTTTAAAATGTACAGTGAGCCAATAGGTGCTATGTTATGGCCTATAATTTAATCACACTGATTATTTTGGAATGTGATGAAGTGTTTCACAAGTGCCATTTCTTTAAGAGTACCTTCCAAGAGGCCTCAATTAATAACAGATTGAAGGGTGAAAAGGGAAGTGATTCAGGAGGTTAAGGATAATTTTAATTCGATGATTATTCCCATTTAATTCTAACCTATGCAGATTTCAGGTTCCTCTGACAGCTGCTAAAGCACAAACTCTTTGCTAGTTCAGAATAATTCAAGTTTAGGAGAAACAGAAATCTACTTTGTGCTTAAAACCATTATTAATATTTTTCAGATATTTTTTGAAAAAAATAAAAAATTATTCATTGCTAAGGCAGTTGAAAAAGAGACCAGAAATTCATGATAACATTTATTCAAATCTGGTCATTGTACAACTTTGCAGTAAAGATAGCTTTCCCCTGAACCTTGCTCTTTTCAAGACACTGTAGAGTTGTATAAGGTCTCTCCAACTTCAATTATATTTGAATACCACCAATAATTCAGTGATGGGCCATCTTTTTACTGCATTGAACACTGGATTTGGAAAGCTTGCTTTCCATATTCATCCACCTATTTACCTTATTTTCTGAATTGCAGTAATGGCAATTTTCTTCTAAATCATGATTGTCGGGCATTTTTCTGAAATACAGCATTTTGACAGTTATACTAAAATTGAATAATTGAATATCTCAAGTTGGAAGAGATCTGTAAGGATCATCAAGCTCAACTCCCTGCTCCTTGCAGGACTACAGAAAGCAAACCATCTGACTAAGGCAAATAAATTAAAATGTAGGATCTAGACACTATATGGAGAATGCTCTTGGGTACATTCAGACACTTTCCCTGTGGAAACAGAGCTGCAACTATGGAAAAAAAGAGGAAAATGTGAAAGTTAATGGATGTTTATGTCTCAAGTTCTCATTGAAGACGCAAGAATATGGCAAAAATTCTCTCTGAAGACTGTTACTTGCCAGCCAGATGTGGTTGAAATTAATCAGTGGGTAGAACCTGTAAATCCAGAATATCTGTGTCCTTTTTCAGTGTTGGTGATTGATTCCATGTGTGGACATAAATAAACTATTCAGCTCTCAAGACTGGTTTGTTCATAATTTTAAAGTGTAAGTAATAATATTTTGTTAATTCTAATGAATATTATGAGAGCTGTCTTAATATTTGTAAGGCTTTCAAGGACAATGTGATATACACTAACTGAAAATATCAGGTGTTAATAATATGTGATTCTGATAACGTGCAGTATCTGATTCTTGTTGTCAGAGAAAACAAAAGAAAGTATCTATCATATTCTAAATATAAAAACTCTAAATGATATGAGGTATAGAGTAAAATATGAAAAAAAGCAAAATAGAAACATTGAGAGGCATATTTATTAGGTTTTTAAGAGCTAAAACCATATGGTGTTAAGTCATAGATTGGACTGGATGATCTCAAAGATCTTTTCCAACCTAATTAATTCTTTAATTCTATGATACTCATCTATGTAATACTTCTAGTTTGATGTTTTAAAAGTGTACCTTATGATAATTTTATAACGGATATAGGTGTAGTAATTAGACAAAGAACTTGCTGCAACCAGGAGTGTTGCACTTGCATTGCCATTATGGATCAGCAGAAGGAATCCAGCTTGGGAAAAGTAATTCTGAATGTTTTATGTACATTTTTAATGGGTTTTTGCAAAAGGGAAGTGACTCTTTGGTAAGATATTGCGAGCAGAGTGTAACAACTGTAGTGACACAGAAGGACTTCCTTGGGCAGGAGGGGAATTCTGTCAGTGATTCATGGTGGGTTCTGCCGTGGCTTCCATCTCTGCCAAACCACTGCGCGGCGTCCGTGCCGGGATGCTCAAGGCAACGCGTTCCAAGGCAAACCCTTCTGTTTGCAGCCCTAAAAGCCGTGTGTTCTCACGCAGGAGCTGAAGGACCCTCACTGCAGGGACGAGATGGCCGCGGCCCGCGGGGCTCTGAAGAAGAACGCCACCATGTTGTACACGGCCTCGCAGGCCTTCCTGCGCCACCCCGACGTCGCGGCCACCAGGGCCAACAGGGACTACGTCTTCAAGCAAGTGCAGGAAGCGATCGCCGGCATCTCCAACGCTGCCCAGGCCACCTCGCCCACCGATGAGAACAAGGGCCACACCGGCATAGGGGAGCTCGCTGCTGCTTTGAATGAGTTTGATGTGAGTATCAGCAGGGTGGGGAGAATGAAGTGTTGCTCCGCACCATCTGTACAGCTTTTAGCTAAGTTGTTCCTACACAGGACTTAAAATTCCCCTTTTCATTCACATCCATTTCCACAGAGACATCGATTTGTATTGGTTTTGGTGAGGAATAGTTGTTTGCTGCTAATGGACTGGAATTACAAGGAGTTATTTGTGCTCATATGCAAAATGATATGCTAGGACAGTGAGAAAAATAAATTCTTGTTATCCTTAGGATCCTTGGCAAATCTTACTTCATGGTTCTAGAAAATGCATAGTCTGATTAATCTGGCAATTTGGTGACCAAGATTGGTCACCAAACTGGGTTACTTGAGTGGTAAAATCATGTTTTTCTAGCAAGTCAGGAAGAAAAGACAAAAAAATGAAAAAATGGTGATGGAGCTCAGTGTCCTGGAAACATTAACATTCAACTTGAATAATGAATTATGTTAATCAAAGGCATGGAAAAAGCATCTTTCAAACAGAGTTGATAGCAGTCAGCTCAGCTGCGGGCAAAGTGCTGCAGCCTCTGTTCCAGCAATAGATACAGTTTTGCTTAAGCAACTTTCCTGACAGCTAATTGTTTGGCTGTTAATTTCATTAGCAATCTTGTCTGATGATTTCTCCCTATCTCACATGTGAGGATTGTTCTTCAGGCAATGAACAAAAAGGTTATTCCAGACAGTCTCTGACAATATTTTCATCTTTTATTTTGACTTAAGGCAAAGACTTGTTGAAGTTATTATTGGGGAATGGTGTCCTTTTCACTTTGATTAAGACACAAGGCTGCAATCCCAGCATCTGTCACAAGCAGTCAGGAGCTGCTCAGTCCTTCTGCATTTAGGGCTGGAGGTGGAGGTGTAGTGCAGGTGATATCTTTAAAACATTATTTTTCCCACAGCATGTTGGACTGTGCTTGTCTCCCCCATCTGTTCTTACATCTGTGGGTTTCCTGCAAAATGTGGGTTAAGATTTAAGGAATTCCTCAGCGTTTTCAAGGCCTTCTCAGCTCACAGGTCTCAGGTTGGTAAGATCCTGGGAATAAAATCCCTGTCTGGTGTGACTGTGCTCTGGCTTTTTTGTGGGACTTTGCACGTTGTGGACAGCAAAGGTTTGACAAACAGGGACAGAAAACATGTGACTCCTCAGTCCCAAACTGATGATGCTGCTTCCTTCTGGAAAAAGGGCTGTTGTCCAATGCAGAGAGAGTCGTTGTGCTTAGTGAAAATAAATGTAGTGAAGACTGTGCAAGACATCAGATATTGTCCCCTGCCTCTATGAGAATATTCACCCTTTTTCTTCTCAGGTAAAGTCTTTTCCACTTTCAGTGATATTGCAGGAGCCATGCATGTGTGTGTGAGATGTGTAGCCATATTAGTATGTTCTGTTCATAATTATGTGTGGAAAACCAACCTTTTTGGGGAATTCTCTCATTTTAGGAAACTAAATGAAAATTTTGACTTACAAGGGTACAGAGACAATTGTGTTATGTATTTTCTAACTCACTGCTTAGCTGTTGAGTGAGATTTATTCACACCTAAGTTTGCATCAAAGATGACATCCCTAACCTCCAGAGAAAGTCAAAATTTATGGCTGCTGGTGGTGGGATGATTGTGAATTTATATTTTACAAACAAGAAAACAAACAAAATTAACAGATTAGTGAAACTATGTTATGAGTTAAAAGGTGGTGGAGAAAAAATACTTGCTTTTTATGGTGGTAGTATATTACTTCAGCAAGGAAAAGGATCTTTGTATTTTCTAATGGAAATAATTTCACAGAGTATTTATTTTACAGTCTCAGTCATATGAATTGCAATCAGTTTATATTTGGTAGCAAGTGCTTACTAAACCCTGCATTATATGCCAAGATTATTATTCTGTATTAAAAATAAGTTTACAGTTTTTTTTTTCCATAATTTTAACACTTCTCAACCTTCATTATTTCAAAATTTGGAATCAGTGTTCTGTGGCTTAGCGCTTCAAATAACTGCAGTGTGAATAATTTGAACATTTTATCAGTCAAAATATCATCACATAGAATACAAATAATTATTCTACCTATTTGAAGCACAGCCATTGTGTTTAACTAGGTGTTTTGATAATTGTCACACTCTATACACGAGGGGGTTGTGTAAAGTCACCTGTGAGTTACTAACAACAAAGTTTTGAAGATAGTTGTCATTTATTGCCTCTCAGAGATAATTTATGTAGGAATAAGGAGAGCTCCCAAATCTGTTCCTTAGTAGATTTTTTTCCTTTAAAGTTCTATTTGAAGTGATTGATGACAAAAGAACATGTTTAATGCCTTGTTGCTTTGTCCTTTCACTTCCATGTTGCTGCTTTAGTCTTAGATCATTTAAAAATAGGTATTTCTGGTCTTACTAGTAATTTGTTATTAAAATTTGGCATATATTCTATGCTCATGAAATATTTCTGAGTTCTTAATGCAAATGGAGGTGCACAGTTTATTTTCTCCTGATGATAGTTGGCCAAATTTATGGAAGTTGCATAGATAAATTTTTTAAGAACTTCCTTTGAACTCTGAAAAGGCTCTGTTTTCACTCAGGAAATGGTAGTTTTGACCTGGTAAGCTCTCATATCTTCTGGTTATGGAGGGACTGCTTTGTTGGCATGTGTTGAACTGTGGGATGGATTTATCTGGTGTCCTCCCCATAGCCCTCATGGTGTGCAGCAGAGACAGGACCTACACATCAAACTGGAGTGTGGTGGGGAGGTAGATAAAAAGAGAATGAAATTATTGAGTGAGAAGAAATGTAATGAGAAGGACCGGGAAACTGGGCTGGATGCAAACTGAGATGAAGATAGGTGGCCTCGAGACTGGTGTGCATAGGGAAACTGCAAAGGGGCAAAAATATATGTGGATGTAAAAATACGGATTTATATCTAGAAATAAAGGAATAACTTTGTTCAGGGAAGGGAACAGAGCTGGGGAAGGGTCTGGAGCACCAGGAGCAGCTGAGGGAGCTGGGAAGGGGCTCAGCCTGGAGCAAAGGAGGCTCAGGGGGGACCTTGTGGCTCTGCACAGCTCCTGACAGGAGGGGACAGCCGGGGGGGGATGGATTTGGGATCTCATCCCAGGGAACAGGGACAGGAGGAGAGGGAACAGCCTCAGGCTGGGCCAGGGATGTTTAGTTTGGACATCAGGGAAGTTTTCTTCCCCCAAAGGCTTGTCCAGCCCTGGCACAGCTGCCCAGGGCACCGCTGGAGTCCCCAAGCCTGGGGGAGTTTAAAAGCCACGGGGATGTGGCACTTGGGGACATGGGTCAGTGGTGGCCTTGGCAGAGCTTTTCCAATCCAAATAATTCTGTGATTCCATGATTGTCTGTGCCATGGCAAGGGCTGCACACAGATTGTTCCTCCTGATGGACTAGAGAGGGGGCAGTGACAGGCAAAAATAGGATTTATTGGGCACTTGGGATCTCTGGTGAGTAGGAGGGTGCCTGCTCTCAGAGTATGGACTGGGATTACAATTCCTGAGTCCCGAGGAGTGGAGCTGTGTCAGTGGGATGTGCTGACAGCACCTCAGAAGTGCTAATCACAGTGGAAATTCAGATTCTAGTGGTTTCAGACCTACATTTCTTTACATTTTAAGCATTTCTAAATAATTTCCTTTAGATTTGGATATGAAAAATGAGGATAATCATTCTTGTACAGTGCTGGGAGGGTGGATGTAATGGTGTTGCAAATATAAAGCTATTTACTATGCATGCACCAGAACTCTATAAAAAGGATTATTCCTGTGTTTGAAGCAAGGCTTGAATTATCTGCAATAAAATTAAATAGAATTTATAAATCCTCTGGCTTAGAAAGGGGAGGAGAAGATACTTAAAGGAAAAAAGGACCAAACCCCCTTTTCTCCACTAGTGCCAAAAGCAAATATCTGTTGTTTTCTGTATTGCTCCAGAAAGAATTGATGAGATGGCTTAGCTGACTTTTCTCTCTGTCTTTTGTGTTTGTGTGTGCAAGTTTTGCCAAGGGAATAAAATGATATTTTGTTTGTTAAAATAAATATATAGTGCTTAGTTTTAATGTATGGTAATTCAAACAGGCAAGCCCTATAGGTAATGTTGATTTATCTGATGTTTTATAATTTTTTATCGTTTTTAATATTGGATTTATTATTTCTCTGTATTTTGTCTTTAAAGTTGCAGTCCAGCTGTGTCGATCCTTGTTACATCTCCAGCTGCTGAGCCTGTGGGTCACCCCTTTGCTCTCTGATTTCTGAGTATGAAAATAATCTGGTTTATAAAGGAATTTAAAGGAATATAAGGGGAAGTGGTCACAGCACCAAACCTGCCAGAGTTCAAGAAGCATTTGGACAATGCTCTCAGGCACAGGGGGGGACTCGGTGTTGTCCTGGGAAGGGCCTGGACTTGGACTGGTTGATCCTTGTGGGTCCCATCCAACTCATGATTCTATGATTTGATATGGTTCAGATTTGGAAGAGGTGGTTAAAATGATTTTTAGTACTTGAGGTATTAATGTATTTGGGATAGGTCCCAGGATACTGAAATTGTACTATTTTTTGTCATAAGCAGCATTTGAACAGCGAAATTACAGGCAGAGTAACTCAATCTTTAATGAATTTTTGAACAGAGCAAGTCAGTTATCTGGGAGATGACTACATTTGATGAGAAAGAAAGTGTCTGGTGACACTGGTCACTGTCCTCCAGGCTGTTAAATGCAGCTCAAAATTAATAAATGGGCTATTATAACATATTTTGTGAATACATTTGTGCTCCTTAAGGAACATTTTGCATGGCTGGAGAATGCAGTGCACCTTAAATGGAGTGAAAGATCTAATAAGTGTGTAATGAGGGGAAAACATTACAGAGAAACTGAAAAGACGAAGTATCTGGGTATAGCAGTAGCAAAGACTGCTCTTTTTTTTGGTAGTAAACTTAGGAGCTGTCAAAATGTGGCAGAAATGTAGCAGACAGAAAAAAAAATCCTGTA